GGTGCATATCTTGTTCGGTGGCGCATGATATTCGTGAACATATAGTATTTCTAGTTTTTGAAATGTGATTTTTTTTTTCTCTTGGAGTTTGTGAAAATGTTGCATTAAAGGAGTAAAAAAATCGTTAGTATCAGGTTGTCCTTCTTCTCCTAAAATATAAGCTACCTGAGTTATTTTGCCAGCTATATACTTTCCCATATATCTTTAGTATAAAGCTAATTTGTTCTTAGAAGGTTTATTTGTTTATCCTTCCTTTGAAGTAATTTGTACTTTTTTTTTTATAACTAGACATGTTGTTTATGTAATTTTGTAATATCTATTATGTAAGTAAGTGCATTTTGCTGGTTTCTTTATTAAAAGTCATATAGTATAAAATTTCTTCTAAGAAAAGAATATATGATTAATTATTCTATAAAAGCAGATAAATTTTATTAGTACTAGGTCTACCTTAAAATTCTGTCTGTTTTAGAAACGAGAGAAAAATATACATTTTTCATACCTTCAATCAAATTTATTGTAGAATATAATTTACATCCTTACTTATAACCTCTTGCCAGCATAATGGCAATTTGTCGACACCATTTTTGAAAAATGTCTTGTGCTTTAGAGGAATAATGCTTGGCTGACATCTGCTTTAGTTTTGGGTGTTTCTCTCTTCAAGAAATTCTATAAGGAGCGAAACAAGGGATAATTGGAAGATACTAGGTCTGGAGAGTATGGTGGATGAAGCAGAATTTTCCAACCTAGCTATCCAATTTTCCGACAAGTCACAATAGCAGCATGTGGTGTGGCATCATCATGATTCAGTATGATGTGCTTCCTCTTAAACATAATCAGCCTCTTTTCTGTGACTACTTTATTTCAAGTTCATTTGCTCTCCAAACCAAGCTTTTTTAGGTTTCTAAAGCTCATAATGTCTTGGTCCTTGGATGTCCCATTATACATATAGCATTCTCTTGCTCAGGTTCAAAATCAGTTTAGAGGTGGAGGGGGCAGGTTGTTGAGCTTACAGTATGCTCTTTTCTTAATGATGTTTTTGTAGGTAATCCAGTTTTCATCTCTAGTTATCATCCAATCCAAAAAGGGCTGGTTTTGATCCAAGCATGCATAACTATATGCATATGATGACTTGATCATGCAAATATTTCTCACTTAACTCATGAGGCACCCACCTGGAATATTTATAGACCAATCCTAGTTTTCGAATATGGTCTGAAATGGTTTATTGGGCTTAACTAAGCATTTCTGAAGCCTATGATGTCGTCAGAGATGGATCTTTCTGTATCATGTGTGTGTGTATTTAATTATGGCAAAGCTCACTAGGGCTATCTGCCTAAAGGGAGGGATGCCTTTCATGGAGGACTTTCTAAGGGAAACTGGCTCGTATACACGTTACACATGGGGAAAACCACGAAAACACCCATGCAGCCAGCCCGTTCGCGGGATTCGAACCTCAGGCCGAACTACCAGTGTTCAGCGGCGTTACCGCTCGGCCGCTGGTGGGCTATTTCTGTATCATGATTTTGACAATATCGTCATCCATCAAAGTTGGCTGCCCAGATCATTACGGTTGAAATCACCTGCTTCAAGTTTTCCAAACGATCTCTTGCATACTCTGTTCAAAACTACATCTGCATCAAAAACTGGTAGTACATTTCAACATGCCTCTTTAGCATTTCTTCCTTGTTGAAATTTGTACAAAATACAATTTTGTAAATTAACTTTGTCAGTAGCCGTGTTTACATGATTATGTCTCAGTAATCAAATGAGACACTTTTGTTTCAGTTGATTTACAGCAGTGGATGTTTATAAATGCATTGATAAAGAGAGACAGCAATATATGTCAGTAATATACACTTGCATGTATATTAAAACTTGGAATTATGTTATTGGACAGAACTTTCTAATTCACATAATATAATGAGCATGAAAAGAAAGTATTTACTGTAACAGTAAAATTGGAGTGCAAATGATTTTATGCTAGAAAAATCTGCTTTGGAAGAAGACAGTATGACTTTTAACATCAGATAAAAATGAAGGGGAAAAATGTTCGAAAGAATGAAAAAATTCTGCTTTAGTGTATTCACTTTCAAAATTGTATATTATTCAGGAAGTATTATTAATTAAATAGCAAATATGTTTATAGAACTTTTTTCAATCCTTTATTATTTAATGTGAAACTACAAAAAGGCTTTGTCCTTCTATTTCTTAGTGAGTGAGATTCTGAAAATCTGATTAAGAAAAAAATGTTCTGTAGTTTATTCATATGTACATTGTATGAAATATCATTAATATCAATGTTCTAAAAGATTTTTATTAAACCTTTTTTTCGTCTCAAAACATAAATTCTTATTTCAATCTGAAATTGTATTTTAAATTATGTCTTTATCATTAAGTATATTAACTGATTATTGTGTAAAAATTTTGAAAAAAAAAATACTGATTCCCTGTCTCATCTTTCCATCATTTTATTTCCAATAATAGCAAGGCGATATTTATCTAAAAATATTATAACCTCATATTTGTAAGTCCCATAACTTATTTTTGATAGAATAAAGTATTTGCTACTGTTAGTAACTTACAGCCTCTTTGTTTTTTTAATAATCATTAAAAATAGTAATAAAATTAGGTTATATTTTGTCACTTCAAGCACAGTATGATATAAAGAAGCAACCTGAGATAAATTGAATATACTTTGAAATATCACAAATAATTATGAGGTGGGGGGAAACATATTCACCATATAAAAATCTAAAATTTTAGATTATTCTCTTAGAAATTCTTCTCTGAATCTTATCGTATAATAATAATGCTGTTTTTTCACTATTCCTTTTTACATGTTACTAATCTTAATTGTCTTGCTATTGCTTTAGGAATCATTCTTATTAAATCGTCAAGTAATAATGCTATCCTAACATTTTTTAAATTTTCTATATTGATGAAGTCAAAATAGCTTTGATTTAATTAACAAAAAATTGCATAACTGGAAGCATGTTTAAAATAGTTGTTTAATAATCTTTGTTTTTTTTTAATAATCATTAAAAATAGTAATAAAATTAGGTTATATTTTGTCACTTCAAGCACAGTATGATATAAAGAAGCAACCTGAGATAAATTGAATATACTTTGAAATATCACAAATAATTATGAGGTGGGGGAAAACATATTCACCATATAAAAATCTAAAATTTTAGATTATTCTCTTAGAAATTCTTCTCTGAATCTTACTGTATAATAATAATGCTGCTTTTTCACTATTCCTTTTTACATGTTATTAATCTTAATTGTCTTGCTATTGCTTTAGGAATCATTCTTATTAAATCGTCAAGTAATAATGCTATCCTAACATTTTTTAAATTTTCTATATTGGTGAAGTCAAAATAGCTTTGATTTAATTAACAAAAAATTGCATAACTGGAAGCATGTTTAAAATAGTTGTTTAATAATCTTTGTTTTTTTTTAATAATCATTAAAAATAGTAATAAAATTAGGTTATATTTTGTCACTTCAAGCACAGTATGATATAAAGAAGCAACCTGAGATAAATTGAATATACTTTGAAATATCACAAATAATTATGAGGTGGGGGGAAACATATTCACCATATAAAAATCTAAAATTTTAGATTATTCTCTTAGAAATTCTTCTCTGAATCTTACTGTATAATAATAATGCTGCTTTTTCACTATTCCTTTTTACATGTTATTAATCTTAATTGTCTTGCTATTGCTTTAGGAATCATTCTTATTAAATCGTCAAGTAATAATGCTATCCTAACATTTTTTAAATTTTCTATATTGGTGAAGTCAAAATAGCTTTGATTTAATTAACAAAAAATTGCATAAATGGAAGCATGTTTAAAATAGTTGAATGCTTGGAATTCTCAAAATTTCCAAGGCTGTACATGATTTGATGTATTGAGCTATGTTACATTTATACTATGTAATTTTGCACATGGAAAGAATTTTTAACATACAGCTTCTAAATTTAAAATATTTAGCATAACTCAGGATACTGTTTAATTTAATGCATTGGTAATAAACAAATTAAATAATAATTAAACAAAGATTTACAAATTTATAACTAAAGATTTGTTATTTAATTAATATTCTTTACTGCATATATATATATATATATATATATATATATATATACACACACACATGAGTATGCAATTTGTTTTTACAAATTATTAATTCTTGATGTAAAATATAAAAAAAATACGATGGCTTTGCTCTTTGCGAACCAGCAACCTTTAATTAATTTTCTGCAATTCAGGATCGTCCCCTAACCCAGTACCTTCTAGAACATTCGCACCTATTACATAACCTCCTCATGTAAATACTGCGTCATAAGTTTTTCTACATTTTTCTAGAAGCTACTCTGTTACATAACCCTTCATATAAATGCTACGTCATAAGTTCTCCTACACAGATGCCTTCTCGCCTTCGTTCTGCTAACTCCTCCGCTATGCTCCTCTTTCTTTGTTAAAATGTTATAACGTATTAAAGACAGTCGTATCTAATAATTCAATTACTGAATACTGCTGTAAATTAAAATAAAGATATGCTTGCTGTTAAAAGTGAAAAGTCCTGAGTCGTCATTTTTCTCCGTGATTCAATCATCCCAGCTTCGTCAACCATCTGCCAGAACGTGTAATGGAATAGCCTCACCATTCGCCCACGATGTGTTGGAATAACTGAAAACATTACATATATATATATATATACACACACACACATGAGTATGCAATTTGTTTTTACAAATTATTAATTCTTTTTTGGTTCAACAGTGTTTATGATTTCATATATTAGCAAATGTATCAATGGTGTTTATGATTCCATATATTAGCAAGTACAACAATAGGGACTTTGAAAGATTGAAACATATTTAAGACATGTAAATCTTTGTTAAGTTATACTAATTTGATAGAAAGTATTTAGTTTAAAACTAAATTAAAATAAATATATGTAACAGAATGAATGATTTATATTTTACAGATGCCAGAAAAGCAACTGAATATAGTAATCCAATTAACTACTCAGCTTTAGGCTTAGAATTTTTGTATAGACATCCAGGTTATCAAGAAGATTATCAGCTGTATTTAGATAATGAAAATCCTGATATGGAAAATCGCATTTTGCAACAAGATTTCCCTGATCTCTCAAATCGATATGATGATGTACAATTGGAAAAAATTTTAAACAGTGAGAGAGCTGCAGGAAGGAAATATTCAGATAATGAATATAGCTTACCAGATTATCAGAATGATGGTCAGATTTATCCAGCGTATTACATGCAGCAGCCAAATGTAGGAAATGAACGTTTTTATCCCGTGGAATATAAACAATTACCTGAGCGTTATGCTGTTGTGAAAAAACCTAGACCAAAACCAAAAAATCCTTGGATAAGTCAGTTTTTACTTCCAAACAAAGAAATGGTCAAATCAGCTCCTCACAAATCTCTTAGTAACAGTGGGAAGATAAGAAAAAAAAGGACCAACTTCCATTTTCTAAAAAGAAGTGATGCAAAAGGTAACCGAATTATTTCCCCTATTATTATTCCTACTATTAAATGTTTTGTGGTTATTTTATTTTTTGGCTCTTGAAACTTTTTTAATCATGCTGAAAGTATCTGTAGTAATATCAGTTATTATAATAATAATAATACATTGGTGTAGCAGGTTCTTAATAATAATAATAATACCTGATGCTATGCATTAATTTAAGATTTTACTCTTAAGTTGACATTAAAAAGTATATTAAGTAAAATTCAAAAATATGTTTTTAGTAGAATATTTTAACAATTTCTAAATGTAACAGATTTTTACATATAAAATGCTGTGAACTTTTTATATGATGCAAATTCAAACTTTATAGCTTTTAATTTTTTTATTCAACTTTTATGACAGTATGTAATATTTATAAAATTTTAATGTAATGAGTTAGCATTTATGATCAGTCGTATTGTAAAGATTGTTACAGTAAAAGATAATTATTTACATTATTCATTTCTATGGTCATCTGCTATTAGAATTTAAATGATTTATATAGAGCCTGTCTGTTTAATTTATATATAAAGTATTTCATTCTTTAGGAGTGAATAATTGATTGTGATGCTGTGATATAAAATGGTCAGGTTGTTGAGGATTATTATTTTATTTTTATGACAAAAATTGAATAAATAATAAAATTAAAGTTTGTGAAGATAAAATGATTGAAAAATCAATTATTTTCTGTGGTCACAGTTTTTATACATGTGTTTACATCCCATAAGTTAATAACAGTGCAATCATTATTTCTCATTTAAAATGTCCAACTGCAGTCAAAGTAAAATACAGTAATATTACAGAAAAATTCAGCAACTGGATTTTCAATTCCATCATGTGATAAGTGTAATAAGAGGAAAAAATATTTGTTATTAGCAAATTAATATGGCAAGTTGCTTTTCAAATTTTCAGTAAAGACCTGAATAAAAGTTAATAAATATTTAAATGACCTGAATAAAATTAAATCATGCACACAGTAGACACCATTTAATGTGATCATGTTTGCCTATGACTATTTTAATAATATTAATGTAATGATAACACTAGATGTTGAAAAAATTTTTTCAAAATATCAATAGAATTCAATTAATTAAATTTAAGTAAAACTAGAAATGTATAAATATATACTTTCACAGTATTTTAATTAAGAGAAAAGGCATTAATAAGTCCATTATATGCAGTTGTTATTTCATCAGTGTTGCCATTCTAATCTTTATACTCATAGAGCATCCTTGTAAAAAAGTCATTGAATTTGTTAGTTTTTTTTCAGAACGTTTATTATATATGCTTAGATTTTTTTCAGAAAGCAACTGGCAAATATCTTCTTTTGTCGCTGATGCCGCAACTTGAGTTTTTTCATCAATATCTCCTGAAGTGTCAAAGTCCTCATAATTCATGTTCATTGAAGATGTTGTTAGAGACCTCCTTCGAATTTCTCTGTTTCATCATTTATTAAAAAGTTGGCCTGCTTAAAACTGTTATTTATTGTCTTTTTTGAGATGCAGTTTCAACATATATTCGGCAGCAAATGAAGGCGACTAGTTTTCTTTGTTGATTCCTTTGCACTATATCCGTATCATCTATGTCATTTAGGGCTGTAATATTGATTGAATGACTGAATTATAACTGTGGTATTTTTTGGCAAATATACAATTTCTGCATGTTTAAGAGTGACATTTATGTTGTGCGGTTCTCAAATTAGAAGGATAATTTTAATTCCTCAGTTTATTATCCCATTTCAAAATCCAGTCATTAAAAATTGCTGGCATCATCCACATCTTTGAATTACATATATAGTCAGTCTGCTGGTAAACTATTCACTCCTTTGAAGCAATGGTGATTTTTTTTTCTTTTTCCGATTATTAATAATTTTCTTTTTTACCACACATTGAGGCTGCATAAAATGATCATGTAATCTTTCAATGTTTTACATCTTCTGAACTTTCAGTTTTGAACAATTGTGTATGTTTGAAGTAATGCAGGATATACTTATTTCATTGGCATTATAAATGTTTTCAGGACATAATACACTAATAATTTAGGCTATTCATTTGACAACAGTTAATTATAACCAATCAGTATCTTTTTCTTCCTTATGAATGTATTTCTAAGCAATATTCCTCTTTTTTCCCAGTGGTTGAACCAGCCATATATTGTTACAAAATCAATTTTACTAATTAATTCTTCAGCTATCTGCTGCATCAATGGACTAGGGACTGCCACACTTTTTCAGGAATATTTGTAAGCCAAATCAAAAGTGCTTTCTCAGCACTATCATGTTTCTCACTATGCATCATTTTTATATTTTCATTCCAATTTTGCTTTGATTTGAAAATAATATCTTCACAGTTTTTCAAAATCTTGCATTGAGAAACATTTAATTCAAGGGCAGCGTTTGGTTGACTCATTTTTTGAGTTAGTCTATAGCATTTTAAAAAAATCGACTATGGCCTTTTGATTCAGATTATTTTGCCTTTTGCTAGACTTCATGATAAAATGTTTAAACAAAATTAAAAAAAAAAAAAAAAAAAAAGTTTTCTAGAATGGAACATTCATAAATATGTAAAGCTTAAACTCACACCAATGGATTGGGGGGGGGGGTTTCAAAGCACAGCCATGGGCTCAAAAATAAGTCTGCTTGTAACATTAAGTGGGCTGTCTATCGATATATCACACTTATTAAGGTGCTGCAAGGGGGGCTTGTGCACGGGTGTTGTATACACCACCCATGAAAGATCTGGCTATTCAGTGCTTGCTTCATGACAGTTATTTTGGAGTGAACGATAAATTGCCAGGCTTGAGATCAAATGGTTCCTCAATTCTGTCCTTGCTAGCAGCAGAAGACCAAATGAACATGCATTTTACGGGCATCTTCCATGAACATTGCCAACTAGAAATAAAAAGCAAGAGCAATTACCAATCACAGAGGTCACATGAGACCTCTGCCACAAGCTGAAAACAAGTACAAAGATATTTTGGTGTGAAAAAGCAAGGTCATCTAGAATTCTATTAAATTGGTTAGTACAAGTATTTCCTAAAAGTAGGGAAACATCTTCCTTTCTGTATGGCTGCCTTAAATAAAAATCAAACTGCTTGGTTTAATTCCTTACCTTGGTGACATGTTTCTGTCATTGGCAATTTCTGTACTCTGTTTTAATGTTATCTGGCAGTTTTATCTTTTTGAGTATTTTATTTCAACTTCAAAAATTCACTCTATAATATTTTGATAAAAGTAACTGACTTGCTGATATAGCCATATATTTTCCATGTTTTCACATACGGATGGGTAGGATTTTTAGCAATTTGGTAACAATATCTGAATGATAACATTAACTATGATTAAGTGGCACTACTGCATAAATTAGTTAATTAATTAATTAAAAGAATTATAATATATTAGATTTCCAGATAGCCTTTTCAAAATCAGGTATGAGAAAATGTTTTAAGATTTTCCTTTTATATTTTAACAGATTGAAACTACATTCATAATCATAATAATCTTTACTGATAAACGTTTTTATTTAAGGTTTACGCAGAAATCGTCGTCATGTTGGTCCCCACGATGGGGGTGGCATACAGCGAGTCATCTCTACTGGTAAATATTCAATCATTTGTTTTTTCATTCAATTATTTGTGCTGAATTTATAATACTGGTTTAATGTTTATTTTTTCTGAGTTTTATGAATTGTTAAACTTATTTCTTAATTATTCTGTTTAATTGTTATGCAATTTTTTTAAAGTACACCCTTGACACTGCATTGTGCATAAAATTTATAGGTTCAGATTCTTTGCTTGTACTTGATAGAGAAATTATGTAAGGAATTTTTTCAAAAACAAAAACCAATGTTATGTACTTTTAACATTTTGTGTCTTATATAATTGACCTTCCAACCTTCCAGTTTTTGGTATGCAAAGCATCCCCCCCCCATAAATCTGATATATATAATTTCTGTATATATATTTTCTCTATTTCGAATAATAAATCAAAAGCTATTTTTGAAAATGGGATAAAAGAAAAAGTAGCTGCTTTTTAAATTGTTAATTATTTTGGAGTGAGGAAGCAGTTAGACAACAGCAGTTGTATATTAATGCATACTAATATGATTTATGTGACATTTTACATCCTTTAGAGGTGATGGCAAATTGATAATTTAGTGAAAGTGAAGCGTTTTAGGTATAAGCAAATTAAATTTGTTTTATTTATTCTGTTATAGGAACTTTAGCTCCATCTAAAGAAGGAATTGGTATTGACATAATTTATGCAACATTTTGGTTTTACCCCTCTGAAGTTCTGAGTCTTCTTCCCAAAGATAAAGAATGCATTGAATCTGGAATGAAACAAGAAGAAGAAAGATTTGGACCCACAAGTATGTATTTCAAATCTTTTCAATTTTAAGACAGCCGTATATGTAAGAACTTTTTTCTTTTTTCGTACTTTGATGAGAACACGTTTAAGTGTTATTTTGCTGTTTGTGTTATTTGTTAACAAATTTAACATAACTTACTGTTATATGATTACAGTTACAGTATTTTAGTGAAATTTTACTAATTTTGAAAGTTAGTAAGACAGAAGACAGAATTTCATTACTGTTTACATCATGTGATAGTCATATTATTCCTATAAAATATAATCTTAAGTTGACATGTATTTTATTTAATTCTAATATGCATTAATCAAATTTCTCAATATTAGTAGCTGGTTCAGAATTATTAACGGTCTTTACTACAGCCAAGTCCAGGTGGATAGCATCATTCTCTGTTCCACAATTAACATCATCATCATCTGCATTTTAGCTAATATCATCCTTCAGTTTCTATCCACAGCATTGTTAGTGCAACATCTTTTGAATGATCTCAGGATTATTTGTGGCCTAATTTTTGAATGGATAAGAACTTAACACTCACATCAGATCATCTGATAAACCTAACTGTTAGATTATCAGTGATTTAAACTATGGTGATATGTAGCTGTTTTTTATTCAGATTAGATTAATTTATATTTGAAAATACTTGCAAATGTATTCTTCCTTTACAATATTGTTTAGGTGACTTTTCATGAAGACTATGTGTAAAAGTATAAAATAGATATACTATATCCTAGATTTTTTTTTACTGTACATTCAGAAATTTTTTATTTGTTTTTTGTGTAAGTTCTGTTCCCCACGAATGATCAGTTTTTGCAAATTTTGTGATTAGCATTCTTTGCACATGCATTTTAAAGGCCATTAATTCAAACCTCAGATTCATTATTTCCCCTTTCTGCGGAGATGAAAAGAAAAACAAAACTTCAGATCATAGTATTTCACAAATTGGGCAATTGATAAAAACAATTTTGTCCCAGTTCTTGTGAAAAATGATAAATGAACAATAATAAAATATTAGGAATAGTAAACTATGGAAATAAAATAAAATAAAAAAAAGAGAATAAGAAGAACAAGAAGAGGAAGAAAGGTAAAAGTAAAATAAAAAATGGACATAAAGATGGAAATATATGAGATCTTTTGCTCTCTGTGGGATGGGATATCTTTCTTTTTCTTCAAAATGGAAAACAATAATAAAATATTAGGAATAATAAACTATGGAAATAAAATAAAATAAAAAAAAAGAGAAGAAGAACAAGAAGAGGAAGAAAGGTAAAAGTAAAATAAAAAATGGACATAAAGAATCAAATGCTACCCACTGTGTTTTTGCTCGAGGTTCATCTTCAGCTATTAGTTGCAACAACATACTATGAGCACTCCACGGTTATCTTGTTGTTGTTGAACATAACCAATAATAATGAAGTGAGGTAATCAAATTTCTATCAGCGCTAGTGAATTAATATTCTTTCTACAATTTTTGAAGACACAGGATGCAAAGATACCCGTAATTTACTATAAAAATTAAATTACAGGTGTTTAATTACTTTTGAAAGAATGGTGTGAAACCCATGACAAGAAAATTTAAAAAGTCTAAATAATGGAGGAAGCAATATATATATATATATATATATATATATATATATATATATATATTAGGAAGGATGAACTCAAAAGGAAGTCTTTCCACAAACCCAAAAGTTCTGTTAAATGATTTTAACATTCTAGCATGTAGAATAATAAGTAATATTATATATGTAAAAGCAAAAACTGTAGGTATGTTATAGAAAGCTTTTATAGTATTTAAAATACCAGTAAGTAGTAAAGAAAAAACTCCAATTTATATTTATTTTCTATCTAAAATCTTGAGTTTGGTATCTGCATGAAATTTCTGGCTTTGTAATTAAAACATATTCATAGCTAAATACTAAATTTTTAGACTGATATTTATTTCAAATAATTCTAATATGTTGAATTTACTAAATTAATTACTAAAATAAACAATAAATTGAGAACAAATGTGAAATTAATATGAAAACTTTCTAAGTGGGACACAACTTGAGAATAAATAATGACAACCTATTATCTTTCTTTGCTTTATTAAATTTTACTTTGACACAGAAGAGTTATATACAGTGGCATCTTAGGTCACATCATTAATTATAGATCCTTGGATTTATATCAAACAAATTTTTCAGTAAAAAATAAAGGGAAAATAATTAATCTGTTCTTATGAAAAAGTGTTATTTTTATTTTTATAACACTGTTTAATACTAAAATACAAATACATTGGTAAAATGTATACTGAATATTAATGAAAGATCTCTACATAAATGTTTTTCTGTTATCCAGATCAAAAGCAATTTCTCTAAATGTTTAATGTCCCTGATCTTTGTTTGATACACAATTCCCCCTTCAGTGTCTTAGTCTATTTAATATGATCTTTCACCCTCTACAATCATAGATACCATCATTCTTGGTATACAGTATGAGTACCCAAGTACCAGATAAGCATGTCATCTTCATATTTTTCAACTCCATGGTGCTGTGATGTTAGCAATTTTTTCATTGTTTGACTCTTATCATTAACTTTCTTAAAACTCATTGTTAATGAATTTACCCCAAAAAAAATTATGCAAGAAAACAAACAAACAAACAAACAAAATCATAAAAATTCAGAGTTACAGCACAAATTGCTTATTGAATAGTAGCAACATCGGTACTGACACTTGTGGCAGTTGTAGCCGTGTCTCTAAAGAGGTAAGCAAAATTACTCGAATCATAGTCCAAACAAATAGTAATGGTCTCAAACTGGTAGCCTTGGAACAGTTTTATATGGCCTGCAAATATATTTACCATAAATTAATTGGCATTAGTATGAACAAATTTGAAAAAAAAATCAAGATTTTAATAATATAGACACCAAATTTACATTATTTTCATTACTATTAAAAACAAACCTAAGTAATGCCTTAGAATATCTACAAATTAAGCAAATTAATTTACACTGTGTTATGAATGTTGTTCAAATATTTGAAGGTAAAGATTTGATTTTATACTTGACATAAGATAAATAACTTCAGTTTTGAATTTTTGCTGTAAGAATACTCGATTTGTTTAAGAAGAAATGGATATGTGAAAATTTTTTTCTTGGAGTTGAACATTTTAAAGTTAAAAAAAAAAGGAGTCAAACTGATCAATGAGCATCTTCAATTCATGATAAACATAGTTTCTAGTCATTCTTCACAAAGGTTTAGGAACTTCAAAAGATTTTAGGAAATTTTAGCAATATTGGACCACCAGGAGGTGTTGTACCTGAAAGTTGGAATTAGAAATAAAGATGTTTATAATTATTAACATACAGATTTTTTTACTTTCGTGTATGAAGTATTGTAATCACGGAAAATTCCAGGTACAATACATCAACGAAAATATCCATTTTGACCGCTATCGAATGCTATTTAACAATGTTTTTGCATGACATCTGTATGTAAGGACATAAAAAAGAACTCTTCTTTTTTCCCCAAACAAATTATACTGATTTAAAATGGATTCAGAAGAGATTTTTTCATGCATCTATATGTATATGCATATATATGTATGTATTTCGCGTAATTCAAAAATGAGTAGCCTCAGAGCGTTGAAATTTTGTATATAGGACTGCCATAATATGTAGTTGTCCACCTCTCTTTCTAGTTGCAATCAGCCATGCCAAAAGTATATATATATATACACACACACACACCTACTCTGTTACTTGGCTGAGTGAGCTCATTTTTTTTTATTCTTAGATGTCTGTAAATTGCACTTTTTGCTTTAAAAATGATTGAATAATGTTGTCCTTATCTTCCGATTAAGGTTTTTGTACCTTTAGTTAATCTGCATGCAATAGTTGTAGAATTATCAACAATTTAAAAGTTATTTAAGTGTGGCTAAGCCTAACTTTTGTTTACCGTAGCAGCCCTGAACAGAAACTGAAAAACAGTGAATTCAGTTTCTGCACCTTCAGTGCCTTTTTGCCAAATGGGACCAAAATTAAACTTTCATTTTTGTGCACCAAAAAATCTGCCTTGTTGCCTGCTGGCTGAATTGCTTGTTTTTGTGTAGAAACTCTTAATTTTAATTATAAATTTTTTTTAACTGTATTTGGTGTTTTATTTATTTATTTCTATATTTTTCAATTTTTAATGAAGATATTTTGAGGTTTTATGTATTTTTGCCTTGCTGTGAGCTGAGAACAGAATTAATTGAATGAGAAATATATCTCTAATGAAATTTTGAGGAAATAAGTTTAAATGAAATGCAGCAAAAAAGTGCATATAATTTAATATTTCATACAAGGAAATCATGTGGTGTACACATCAGGTCCCCCTTCGCCAAAGAAAAGTTAAATAAATAAAAGAAAGGTTACAATTATTTATTTTCAAGTTTCGCCCAACTTGGAAAGTTTTCTTTCTTTATTTATTTTTAGTTTAAGCAAGTTATTTAGTGGTTAGTTCAACATATTAAAGTTATTTGAAATAAATGTCAGTCTGAACATCTAATACTGTGACCAACAGAAATTTACAGAAACCAGCTTTTAGATTTGAGATGGAAAATAAATAACAATTTGAATTTTTTCGTGTTATTATTTTTATTATTTACGTATGTTTCAATATACATTTTTTGTATAAAATTTAATATTTAATTAAAAAATTTGTTTTGTTAAAAAAAACTTTTCATGTTAATTTTTTAAAAAAATTGGCCCGCCAGCTTTCAGATTGTTCATTTGTTCCATGTGCAGTTTGAGACCACTGCTGTATACCAAACCCAATATACCCAGTTGATATATTTTAAAGCAGACACGTATTGAGGAATCAGTGTATTTGTATGTAAACAATTACAAACTTTTTTTATTTCTTACTACAATGTTTAGCTATAATACATCATGACATTTCAGTTTTGATTAAAATTTGCATCCCTCAAGAAAAATTATCTTTATAATGAATTGTTTACATGCTCATTGTTCAGTCTGATTTTTTTCTTTTTTAAGATTATTAATTTTCAACTGCAGAAAAACTGTTCACATATTCCCAAACAAAGTGATTATTCTTATTGCAAATATTTGTAACTGAGGATATTTTGTCTTTTCATAAGTGTGAAAAAAGATTAATCAAATTTGTATTTCTCAGTCTTTGGATATGATTTATATCACAATGTAAATTAATTAGCTCTTTGTTGATTTTCTACAGCATTACTCATTTTCATTTTGAGTGGAAATGCAATGTAAATTTGAACTCAAAATCATTGAAATCTTAAACCTTTATTTAAATTCTTGCCGTAATAATGTTAGTTAACTTATGCAAATATTCGTAGGCTGCATAAAACTGCTTCAGGAGCCACAAGTTTGAGAACACTCCTACACCTGTACTAAAATTGAAGATGTTTGGAAAACTATATAAGGAAAACTACTGGCAACATCGATGAATTTTATTGATACCAAATAATTCACTTTTTAAAAATTTCTTTCATGGGAAAGGCTTATCTGAAATATGGGCAACAGAAAGGTGTTAGAGACTATTTATTAGGTTGAATCTAACAAATATGAAAAGCTTGCAGTTACCTCACCAGGACTCCTGACTTTTGATTGTCAGATGGACATGCTTTCCAATTACACAACAAAGTCAATAAAGGCACAACAAAGGGAATAAAGAGAGACATTCTCCTCTACTTGAATAGTGACTGGAAAGAAAGAGACCTAATCGCCAAATCTTGGCAGTGACAAATAATCATTCACCCTTTACGGTTTGGGAGCCACTATAGAGACAATTAGATTTTACACAACAGGAAACATGAAAAATGTGCAATGTCCTTGCCCAGGCTCAGACTCCAGACCAAATTGCTGGCCGGACATGCTTTCTAATTACATCAGAAAGGCACATGGTAAGGAGGTATATGGTAGTTAAATAATCTTATATGGTATTTAAATAATCACAAAAAGTTTGAAATATGGATTTTAAAATAATTTGTTGATGTTATTTTTTTTTTTTTTTTTTTTTTTTTTTTTTTTATTTTGCAGTGCAGGAAAGAAATCTGACAGTAGTTGAGTATTAGACTGATAACTGGCAACTGCAGAAAATATAAATAATTCTTAAATTTGTATTGACTTTCTTTCTGCATCTTTACATACCTTATTTATGCTGCCACATGTCCAAAAAATGTGTATAACTTTAGAGTATGAATTCTAAAAACATTATTTGTGGATATAAAAATATGTAAGCATCATTTGAATATCTGCTTGCCAGTTTGCTTACTTAATTGAAAGTTTGTTTTTAATGAATATCTAACTGTTTAATTTTTTTCAAGAAAAACATCAAGAGATTGCAAAAAGTTATGTTTTCTACAACTGCTGTTTGATATTAACTGTGATAAGATATTGATATATCTGTTGTACTTTCTGAATCAGTTTGGTAGATATTGAGTGCTTTTTACTTTTTCATGCAATCTTATGGACATAATTTTCTTTATCCTATTGACTATTTTTCAATTTCTTAAAAGTACTGTATAAAGAACAACCAGCTCAGGCATATTCATGCAAGCCCAAGCAAATGCCAAACATACACAGTTCACGACCAAGATGATGTCTGTTCTAAGTTGAGCCTTGCAGAATTGAATGTCACCAAAATGGAAAATTTTAATGCCCTTCCCTCAAAAAAGAGAGAGAAAATAATAAAATAGATGCATAAAAGAGCATAAGAAATTACAGATGTAGGTTTTGCAGAGTTTCACAACAACGGTATTACAAATTGAATATAATCATCATTATCTATCAATATCATTAACTTTAGTTGCCTACATGTGCAATACTATCACTCATATTTTTAAGCAGAATAATATCATGCTTGTTATAGATATTAACTTAGCATCCAGATATATACTAAAGCAAATTAGAAATCAACTTAAAAGCATATTAAAAACAAATTTGAACATACATAGGAAGTGATACAATACATGTGAAATAAAGAAAAATTTATACTAAATGCATAATAATAAATACACAAAATATAATGTATAATAACATATAACTACCCACTTAATAACACAAAGTATGCATATTGCGCTAAGTACATAATATTGCATAAAGCAAAATACATAATAATACTTATTTAGTAATACAAAATACCTAAAATTTGATAAATGGTGCATGAGGATATATACTTTTCTTAACCGTGTGACTGCTACGCGGCGCAAAAGCGCTGCGTTCATTTGTCTCGAAAACCGCGACGCAGTTAGTTATTTTAGAATGCACTCGTGTTACAAAGTACGCGTGAGGTCAGACTACGTACGTTCACACCCACGGAGCAACAAAGGCACACTGAAACTCGCAGCGCAGACGATTTTTGAGACAAATGAACGCAGCATTTTGCGCCGTGTAGCAGTCAAACGATAAAGGTCAGAGTTTTTACTGCTGATAAAAATTTTCCCATATGTGGAAGCACAGTAATTAATAGCTTTTCCAATCCTAAGCCATGCAACTTTTATTAGAGAGCATATTCTCTGTCCAAGCCATCCAGTATTCAGGAGCTGGTAATTTGAGATGATGGTCCCAAATAAAGGTCATTCAAATATGTAGTGATCAAGGTTGCTAAGACCGCTGCAGTCGCAGATGTCTGTGCTAGAAACTGAGTAAGAGTTGCTTTATCAGTTTGCAATTCTTTTTGGCATCAGCATGGGTATGCCTGCCTGTCACAGCTGAATCTCACCATTCCTGCCACAGCGCAAGAAGATACTTGTGGGTGGACTGTTTCAGATGTGACTCGAAGTAAAGTGCTTGAGATGGGATGGATCATTATCTGCATTCTTCATAATGATATGTCTGCTCGTTTCCTGGAATACCAGTGTAAGCCAGCACCCAGCACAGAGTAGGCTCTTAGAGGCTGGACACTCAAGCAGTACTTTATATATCTGGATAACTAAAGGACTTTGGCTTTGCCTTGCTGAGATTGCGGCAAGACTAGAAGCAGAGTTACTGTATATCACCACTGCATTCTAGGGACTGCACTGTGAATAGGCAGTCACGTCTGTTACTGTTATTAATTCTGTTTGGTACACTGAATTATTGCATCTCATTCTCCATGCGCAAGAATGTACAGTTTAATATCTGTCCTGATGGCAAAAGCTGCAACTTGAACCTGTATCTCTACATGAAGAATTATATCAAGAAAACTAGCTTGATTCAACACTATTTGATTTTTTTTCTTTTTTCAGGTAGGTTCTATGGTATGGACCATGATGCTTATGAAGAAATGGTGACTGAAAAATGCTTAAAAAGAAGTGGTAAATTAGATATGAACTCAAGAAAAAGAAAAGGATATAATCCTTTCAATCGGCCAATGGGGCAAATGACTGTATATCGCACACATCTAAATTGTCTGTGCCCTCAAGTAAATAAGACATCTGGACTGGAATGTGCAAAAATTTTACCTTTTAGTGAACAAATGTGGACATCATATATGGGTCTTTATGGAAATAGTGTTGCTAAACAAAGACATTTTCTGTAAATTTCGAAAATTGACTGTTCACAATCATTTGTATATAGCAGTCCATATTGATGTAATATATATTACTTCAAATTAATTTTATTTTTAGTGTGACTAATTCTTCTATAGTTTTTGTAATATCTTATCACTGTAATTTTAAAATTTTTAGTCTAGCATACTTCATATTTTCATAAATGTTGAGTATTCTTTGTAATGATACTTGGCATTTATTTAGTAGTTCTCAATTGTATATAGTGAAATGAAAAAGCACCGTTTTTGAGACACTTTAATTTTTAGATGATTTTTATCACATTTATACTTCTTAAATTCAACCATTATTTACTGTCTCCTTACATTTAATTGAAATTCAAGATCTAAAGATAACATTTTTAAAAACTGAAAAATAATAAAAACTATAGGGATCCAAATTAGATAAAGTTTTGAATTTTCGACAGCCTAAAAGACTGCAAATTTTGCAGTTTGGTTAATGCTCTTGTTTAGTTCCTCAAGTTAAATTTCTAATTATGGATCAGATTGCAGTCAAGAAACGAAGAATTTTTTAATGTTTGATTTCTTATTGCTCTAAAAATTTTTTTTTTGAAGAAGAAAAGCATTTTGGTTAATCATTTTATTTTATTGAAGATGATTAATATTTAAATAACAGTAAAGCACACAGAAGTATCTGCTTATGAGTACAAATCTTTATGAGTTTATAAGTTAAGCATATGCTTGAGCATCACAGAATCACATATATTGTAGTCACTTATGTCACACTCGGGCATAAAATCTGTCAATTATTAGTGTCATCTATTTATGAATGCTGAAAGATTAAGAGAAAGCTTTATGTAACCTGCACTACACGTGCCTGCAATATTTCAAACCTTTATGTCCATTAAAGCGCAAAGTCAAAAATATAAAAGTTTGCAAAAAATCATTTCAATTCCACCCCCTCAATCTATTATTAATAAAATATTTAATTCCTATGTTATAGAAAGTTTAATCATAAATAAGTTAAGTATTGTGATCTCTAAGGAATGCATATATTTAACAGCTTTATTTACTGACTTTCGTTTTCAGAATATGCAGCTTAACTTAGTCATATCACTTACACTTTTAATAAAATTATATTTTTAATTCTATAATTATTAATATGCTGTAATAATTATATTTATAATGTTCTGTAAAACTCCTCTAATCCACACATTTGAGACCAAGAATTGTGCAGAATCATGTTTTTCTGAGTATTGTTTACATTTTTTAAATTTATATACTACATTTGGATTATTTGCATACAAATAATTAAAACTTATATATTAAAAATTCTTTGATAAAACGATTTATATTTTTTTAACATCATTTCTGTTACTGCTTATTTTAACACCTTAGGTTTCTTTTCTATTATTTTCCCCTGAGTATACATATGATCTTATTTCCTGGTGTGTAAATTTTGATTTTTAGAAAGCTTAGATACTATTGACTGAATGCTAAACCTTCATCAAAAGTAATTCTTACTTCCTGTTTATTAGGATTATTATCTGAATTTTTATCAGAATACTGAAATAATTCCATCATCAGTTAGTTGTGATGTAACAGGAGCTTCATCTTTAGAAGTCATCCAGTCTAAAATAAATCTGAAATTTCCGTTTTTCTCAAACAAAATCAATTCTACTGTTTTGCAGAAAACAATGTAAAATCTAAAAAGGTTTGCAAAGTCACTTTGTTTCAGTAAAGATTTTTTGTGGCTATAAAGTAAGTAAGTGGTCATTTATAAACCATTTTTTCCAAGAAACGTATGAAAAAATACTTCAGTTTTAACAGGCATGAAATATAAAGTAAAGAAAGAAAGAAAAGCACATATTCACATTCATTTCTCTAATATATGAAGCAAACAAAAAAAAAAAGTATATTTTTTCCAAGATAAATTTCTAGGCTATTTGGGACGTTATATTCAGCACACATGTGCTATTAGCAATACGTCCTGAAATTGAAATTTTAGATTTACTTAAAAAAATTCTCTATCCTTCAGCCTCTTTTTCTTTGCCATTCTGTATGCCATGAAGATCTCACAAAAGCCTATTCTTATGCATCTATTATTATTCACTTTGTGCGGATTGTAAATAACCAGTTACAACAATGCTTAATGCATTTAAACTTTCAAATGAGGATCTTAAAAAGAACAAATTAAAAAACGGCTGTGTAGAGGAGGCATTCGAAATTTTCAGGCAAAAAATAATAACAAAATGATTTAAAGTGGTTCATCAGCTGATTTTGAGTCAACAAAAACACAGTGGTTTTACCTGGAAAAAGAATTCAATTGGAGTCTGATCTACCTGCTCTTGACAAAGTTGAATTCGATTTTAATTGCATTCCTTTTTTATTTTTTATGTATTTTTATTATTTTCAAAACTCCTAATTGAAAATTACTGAATTTTACATTTTTCATTTGCAAATAGTAATCTTTTTTTACTTCAAAAATGTTTCTTAATAGTATTAATTTTATTTTCTTTTAAGTCTTTGAATAAGTTAAAAAGAAAATTTTACTCTTTTATTCTTTAGTTAACATAATATTGTTGCGCTCTTTTTTTTTTTTTTTTTTTTTTTTTCTCCTGGTTATTTTCTTCCTTCACGTTCGTACGGGGTTCGTGCGAATTTGGAGTGAATAACAACAGCACTTGATGAAATATCGAAACACACTTTATTTACAATATTAATCAGCAAAGCTCCAAAACACTTTAACAGTCATCGAAAATCTACTATAAACACGCTGGAACAATCAGTGACAGAGCCTTCACACTGTCTGGCAATAACGGTGGAGACAGCTTCACTGCAAAGCATCAGAGTACAGCTCCCGACTCTGCTCGGTCACTCTCGGAACTCCACGTACTCTTGAGACTCTGCAAGCTACAACTCGTGATGCACTCGACGACACACAGAGCACAGCTCCCGACTCTTCGGTTCAATCATTCCCAGAGCTCAACATACTCTCTCGACAATGCACTAACTACGATACACGAAGAGACTCTTTCGATGCATTCGATGATGACCCACTTGGCACTCGCTGCCTGGCTGTCAACCCAATCAATTCCACACAGACTGGCTAACTCGAGACTAACTATCTCGCACTCTCAGTGCACACTCTTAATGGCTGAGTATCGGTTTGCTAAACGAGGCACACCCTAACTGACTGTGGACCAGCAGGGTTTATATAGCTTTTGGCTTGTTCGAGAACATTCTGGGCTATACTGGTAAAAATTTGTTCCAGGATGTTCTCCATCCGTCCACGGCATATCGCCAATTTTGTTGCTAAATGAGCGATTTTTCACCAAATGTGGCAACCCTGCTTTCTTTGCTATTTTATGGCAACCCTAAAACTGCTTTGCGGGGAAGTCATCTTACCACGCCAGTACATTTTGTAACACTGCCCCCCTCCCAAGGACTGCACGTCCCGGGCAGTACAACCCTTGGTTAAAAGCCAAATTCGATACCCACAAAACATAATAAAACAAACAACATAACTAAAGAATTAAATATTTACACTATGTACAAGTTATATACATAAATTAAACACATAACAATTTTAAATTATACAAATTAAAGTTCTGAATGAATTTGAGTCTCAGTCTTTTCATTATTTATACCCGGGTCAAATACTTTTCCACTGCAGTTCTCAGATGCATTTCTGTTTTTCATGTCACAGTCTGAAGATTCAGTCCTTTCAGACTTTTCATCCATTGGAAGATCTAAAACAGTTTGTTCACCACTCTGTGGTTTATTCGCATCATGTATACTATTCCCCTCGGTATTTTTAGCAGATGGTACATGCTTATTTTCCTTCGTTTCCTGGGAACCAGCTGCAAATTCTGTATCAGAGTCATGAACGGAACCCAATTCTTCACAAACACAAATATCCAGGTTTTGAATCAAGTCCTTGTCTGCACAATTAGCACTGTGAGATGCACACATAGTTTGTGAGGTGGGTGAATTTCTTGCAATACTGGAGCACACTGCTTCAGTTGCACATCAGCTTCTTCAATCTCAGAATCACATGAACTTTCAGATGGTTCAACACTTGCTGATTGCGTTTTCATAACTTCACTATCAGTTTCGAAGAACTTAACAGTTGCATTTTCATCCACTTTCATTTCAGGCACTTGAGAATCAAAAGCTTCTTTCCCGTCTTTTATTTCTTCATGTTTTCGTTAATACCGTTAGATGCTTCATCCATCATTTCTTGATCTTTCTCAGGCAGTTTGTTAGTTACTTCCTTCATTTCTTCATTCTTTGATTCTTTAGAAGCCACTTCTCTCATTTATTTCCTCATTGTCTTTTATGGCTCCAGTTTCTTCTGTAAGCTCCACTTTCACCTGTTGGAGTTGCTCTCGCACCTTTTCTTGGCCGACATTTATTTCTTCTTGCCGGGCTTTCATATCTTCCAGTCCTGCTTTCATGTTTTTCAGTGCTGCTTTGATCTCATCTGTCATCTTTTTATATCCAGATTTTATCTCAGCATATCCGGCTTTTTAACTCTTTCAGTTTGGCTTCCATCTCTTCTTGTCCGACTTTGATCTCGACTAAGAAGTCCATCAAAGTCTTCGTTTCCTCCGCCACAGCTTTACTCTACAGGCGGGTCACTGGCATTCACTCGCAAATCCCACTTCTGGCACCAGTTGTTGCATTTTTTTTTTTTTTTTTTTTTTCACCAGTTGTTACGTTATTTTCTTC